GGATGCAACGTTGGGTGATGAGGTGCCCATGATGATCCCACCTGGATACGAAAGCTTTGAGGTCCCCACGGTGATAAAGAACCAAGGAAGCACCGTGTACGATGACGGAGATGTGGCTTAATTATTATTTTTTCATTAATTATTATCTACGCCTCTTTGCCGCCTTGCATGTGTATTCACGTGTCTCTTGCAGTTCCTGCCTGTTTGCCCGCGATTTTTAAATTAAAAAAGAAGAGATGTGGGTAATGCAGTTTCTGTGGGAGAAAGGAAGCATCATGCGGAAAGAGCGGATCAAAAGACATGATTTGGCTTCACCATTCTTTATTTTTGTTTGTTTGTTTCTCCCTCTCAGTTTAAGGCTGCGCGCGTGTAGGCGGTGTGCCCGTTTTTCCCACCAGCATCTTTTCTTTTCCCTATTCACACTGGCGGCAACACGGCCGTGGGAACAAAAGGAAGGAAAATGAAGGGGGAGAAAAGTGTCGTTGTGAAATTGAATATTAATTTGCTAAAACTGTGCCATTACAATGGGGGAAATTTATTATTTTCTTTTTTTTTTACAATTTCTTTTACTCTGAAAAATGTGGGAAGAATGTGCGTCACGATGAGGCTGAGCAGATGGTAAAGTGCATTAATTAACTGCGCTTTTTTTTAACGATTGTTGGATTATTAATTTGTTAGAGGGTGTGCTGAATTTGTTGTGGTTTTTTTCTTTTTTTTTTCTTTTTTGTTGCGTGTGTGTGTTTTATTTTATTTTTTCTCATTCACCGTTCTCGCTTCTGCCGCTCTTAACGCGGAGGTGTCTGACGGATGTGAAGCCCCCCAAATACTGCCCGCCTCGTCAGTTCAGAAAGATTCCGGTTATTACAACATGTGAATTATTTATTATTTTTTTTTTGGTTTGGTTTTTGACTTGTGTATGGGTGTTGGATCCGTCCTCTCTGAAGTGTGGGGGGATGCCGGGCGGCGCAGTAAGCCAAACTGTCACCTTCCATCGGTTTTTTTGTGATATTTCTTTGAATATTTAACGCGGCCTCATCCAGGCACGGATAACCATTTTTTTTTTTTTGTTGTCAATTTTTCTGCAATGTAGTCTATGAGCGTCTTTAGGGGAAGGGGTGTTTTATAGGACGAGGTGGGGCTTCGTCTTTGCTTTTGGTGTGGGACGGTTGGCCACTCTAATATGCGCATGTATATTTGTGTGCGTGTATTGTCCTTCCTTTTTCTTTCTTTTTGTTTGGGGTTTTGAGGTGGGGCATTTTCTTTACTTCTTCTATGTGAGCTGGTTTCCCTGCTGCGTGATCCGCCTTGACGTGGAGGGGAGTTGCGGCGTGCTGTTGGACCCTCCACCTCCTCCAAAGAAAACATACATATATATATATGCGTATAGAATACAGGCGCGTATTCTGTGCGGTGGAACTGTCTGTGGATGCATGCAGGCGACAAGGGAGGCTGCGTCTCTACCGTGCCCTTCTTAAAAGGGGAAACCGCTTTCCATGACGCTCCTGGCGGGGAATAGTGGCGGAGGAAGTTCGAGGTGCCTTTCGACATCTTCGTAATGATTTGCTAACGACGAGGAAGGTGGATCACAAGCTTCTTTTGGTGTGAGAACGGGCTGCCGCTATTCAGACCTACGCCGAGAACATGTACTGGTTGCATTCCCGAGATGAGGTTTCGAGGGAAATGATGCATCATTCCCTTGAGCAGCATTGTCAGCGTATTAGGGAGATGGAGCGGTGTAATGCCGCGGGAAATGCGGCAATAGAAACGCCAGTGGTGACTGAATTCAAGTCATCGGTGTACCATGTGCATCCGGACTGCCACGGGAGGATTGGACAGACGCCGTTGACGCACAACCGTGGAATTTTGAGAGCGCGTGGACAATGTGGATCCGATGTTGGAGGTCCCCAACAGAAGTTTTGTGCCCGTCGCTACAAGGCCTTATTTCCACGGGGTTGGGAATTGCACCAGCCTCCGCGTGCGAGTGTATGTTGACCTTTTTTGCTGCGTTATTAGGCCTTGGGGTGCTGTTGTTGTCTTCTTTGCCTTTCTGCTTGCGTCTGTGTGGATTGCCTGGCGAACACGCACCGCTGTTGAAGCGGAGGGGAATGAAGGCGGTATTTGGCCTGAGAAGGGTCCTGGTGCGTCTTTTTTGTGGCGAGCGGGACGGTGGTGAGCTTCGCGACGCGGAGGTGTTCGACGCCGTTGTTGGCTTTGCAGTTGTTGCCGTTGTGCCGCTGCTGTATACATCTTTGCGAGCGTTGGCAGGGAGGCGCAGGGCATTGATTGTGCGGACGGCCCAGTCGTTCTCAGATATTTCTGCGGACGCCAAGGCCGTTGGTGTTGAGGAGTCGACCTGCTCGCCGTTCCTCTCGACTTCATGGTCAGTTTTGTCTGCATGGATTATTATCGACGCAGAGCGAGCCGCAGATGTGGAATTCGCAAAATTATTTTCCACGGAAGTGGTGTGTGCGTACGTGGATGGGGTCTTCCGGGGTCTTATGCGAACACGATGTAGGCGCCGCATGTTTCACGTGTGTGTTTTTCTTGCGCGCACCGCAGTTGGAGCGGATGCTGTTGTTCGTCTGGCGAGCAGTGAGGGTACTGGTTGCTGTGGTGTTTCTACCGCTGCTGTCGAAGTGGCGGTGGCTCTGTCGGCTCCAAGCCTGTTTTGCCTGCGTCATGGTGCGTTGCTGCGGAGGGAGCGTCGACTCCATGACGCCGCGTCTCGCTATCTAGGCCCGGGTGTTTACTTGGACAGCCGTTGGAGGTCCCCTGAATTGGCAGACCGCGTTTGGCGTGCGATGGCGCGAAATGGTTTTGCCACAATGCGGTGTTGTCGTTGTGTGACGGGTGTGCGTCGACCAAATTGCTCTGGGCCAAGGAACGGGCCCGCCGAGTATTTTTTGCTTGGTGATCTGGTAAGAAGCAGGCACCACGTGAGGTCCACAATATTCGGGGGAAATAAGTGCTGCGGATACCAAAGGGAAACTGGAGCATGAACCCTCCTGCATGATGTCTTTGCCGCGTCCTCTGGCTGGCTTTGTGATGCGCACGGGCGAAAAATCCATTGTGGTGTTTGCCGTGGCATCATCTGCCGGTGACCCGCAGTATTCGGCGTTTTGTTACACTGAGACGACGCTGACGTTATTGGGCCTACTGTTTTTTCTCTTTTCTCTCCCGTTGGGCCGTGGAACTCTCACCGCGGCAACGCCATGAACGTTGTGCAGCCATGCTTTGAGCGGTTTGCTTATATAAAACCGCCCTATTGGTGTGCACCTGTCCCCTATATATATGTATGTGCGTTTATGTGCATAAAAGGAGGGAGGCAAGGGGGGTGGGAGGGGAGGTAAAGGAAGAGAGAGGGATTCCCGACGCGCATGGATGCGCCTAACCCAACTTCTTGGGAATCCGAGGGGAGATGGGACCGGACCTGAGCGTGCAGTGCGGAGTTGGATGCGTTTGCATGTGGCCGGGGAAGAGGACGCGGGGGCGCCTAAATGAGGAGGGAGAGAATTGAAGGAATCTAAAAAGAGGTGTGGTGGCGTCGAATGGTTTGCGGGGACTCTGGTGTCTGTGTTCCCGTGCGTGTTCCACATCATGCCCTTTTTTCTTCGACTCATCTCTCAGCCGAGATGCGGCCACAGCACGGGAGTCGCTCACATGGGCCGCGCGTTTCCCGGGAACCATTTCAAGGCAGCACCTTTCTTCGACCATGAGTTTGGGGACATTGAGGGAGCTGCACGGCTTGGCGACAAGCAGAAGCTTCTTTTCTACGCTCTGCGGCGGCAGGCCGAGCATGGTCCATGCACGGGCGCGGCGCCGTCCATATGGTGGACGCGTAAGCGCATGAAGTGCGATGCATGGAACCAACTGGGCGAAATGTCTGTATATGAGGCGATGGTAAATTTTGTGAGGTTACTTGGGGGTGTTTAGGGTGAAGTCAACTGGGTGGAGAATTGCAAAGCTCTGGAGAACAACATCTTACATGCGGCGGACAAGTGGCAGCACACATGCCCCAGGAGAGGAGGAAAAGCGGTACGATGATGTGCGTGCCCGCCGGGAGCCCGCCGTGGAGACTGCAGGGCATTTGGCATCGCAGGTCGTTCGGTCGCGACGTGAGGCGCATCAACCGCGATTGTCGACGGCTGAAAAACAAACGAGGGAATGTGTTGCTGCGCGTCTGGCGCTCCCCACCCATCAAAGCACCAGCGGGCAACGCGGGCTTTCCTCAAGGCAGCGCCGACGCCGCGAGGGAGACCCGTCGCAAGGAGGAGTGGTACCCTGCCGCCGTCGCCACCGTTCTCCTGTCCGCCCACTAAATTGACGGAGGTGGCGTTGGGGAGCCCTCGGCCGCCTTCCCCATCCCCCGGGAGGCGCGGAATGGGCTGGGCGGGATGGCTCGGTCGTTCCGAGCGAGCGAGAGGGAGAGGGGAGGAGAATGAAACGCCCCTTTGCGGAGTGCATGGCCGCGATTGGGGCGTCGCTGTTCGCGTTTCCTTTGTTTCTCTTTCAATTAATTGGCGCTGCCCTGCTCCTTGTGCCCTCGTTTGGGCAAATGTGTCTTTGGCCCGGACCGAGCGTGCCCTGAATGGTGCCCATGGGCTTTTTGGATGCGCTCTTTTATGGTGTTCCCTCCCTTTCGCCCCTCTCCCACGACTATTTCCCCCTCAGCCTCATTTGCGTTTCTTTTTTTTCTCACGTCCAGTTGTGTTCGTACCGTGGCCCGATGGCGGGTGCGCTGTAACGTCACGCCAACGTCCACGTCCACAGGGAACCACGAAAATATGAAGCGCGTGGTTGGCGTCTTTGCGGAGGGTGTGGCTGCAGGACTTTCTGACCCGACGAGTGTGGGGCGCGTTGGTTGTGGGAAAGCGGTGGTTCCGTTCCCATGTTTTGCCGAAACAATTTTGCTTCATGCACCTTCTTTGCTTGGGCGGCGCAAAGCCCGCGCGATGCTGATTGGAGGCGACGGAATGCGTCCGCTGGCGGGGGTGGGGCCCCAACATCTCTCGGGGGACGGGTTTAACGCAGAAGAATGAAATTTGACGGCCGACGAGATGAAGAAGCCTGCGCTTCACGCAATAGAAAAGGCTCCGTGGGGGCCCGAATGCACCACGTGGAGATGTTTTTCTTTCCTCTCCCACTTCGCCCACACAATGGTATGAACCCTTCTCCCGTGTCCGCTAGTACAATTACTAAATAAGTGACAAGCCGCATGCATTATAAAATTTCGACGCAGAAGCCAAAGAGACGGTGATACCAGGGCGACTCGCCCACTCACGGCCTCCTCGGGATCGCCGAACCACACCGACAGCATGCAGCTCACGAAACGCGCAACATTGTTGTTGTGCACGGTGTTATTCTATTTTTACGTTTTCGTGGGGTTTCCTATTGAATGCCGCTCTTTTGGTAAAAAGAAATATGCGACCGTCTGTCGCCACCAATTTCGGTGCTAAAAGTCGGACACAATGCATGAATCCCCATTTTGTGTGTGTAGGCGATGTTCCTCCATGTCGTTCCTTCCGGATTTTCTTTTGTTCCGCTCTCTGCGTGGGTGCGCCACTCTGCTCTCCACCGAAGTGTCTGATGTATTGCCGCTGTTGCTGTTTTCCTCCTTCACTTCTTGAACACACACAAAGAAGGAAAACAAGCGCGAATCGCTACTGTGAGATTGTAAGGCTCTGAAAGGACCAACACACACACCGCCCACACACACATATTTATATGCTCTCACGTGTTGCTGCAGTCATGGCACCCCGCACACACAACCGCCGCCGCGTGACCGGATCCAGCGGAAGGAGGAGGGAAGGAAAGAAGAGTGAGCCGCAGAGGCCCAACATGTCCCGTCATGTGTTTGCTTCTGCGGTGCTGCTGCTCGTCGTCGTGATGACTTCCTGCAGCAGTGAAGCCACTTACGGCAAGGAGGGCAATTCAAGGAATGGAATCATCTTTGAAGGAGGGGATTCGTTTAGTGATCCAGAGACTGAAAATTTGTTACAGGCGTTTGACTCGTTCCGTGCACCTTCTCTTGCTTACGTGAATGGTGTCGTTGTGGCCACCGTTGAAGCGCATTACACAAACTCCACGGATAACAAATCGTGTGTCAGTCTTGCTGCAAGGTCGATGGAAAGCAGTGGAGGGGAGTGGACAAATGGAACTGCCATCGTGTTTGATCATTACGACGTGAAAATTGACCGCCTGTTGAGTCCAACAACCTTTGTGGATGAAAGAGATGGTGCAACAAATGCTCTTGTCGGGGGTTATGGCACGTCAACGACTCCATTGACGGAGGTGACTGGTGATGGTAAATATTGGGCGCCCAGGATAGCGGCTGGTAGTTTGATTCCGTATGACGATGAGGAAAAGAAGGAGTTTAAGTGGAACCAGGTTGCAAGCACGTCAGGAGTTCCACATGACCTTTGGGAGAGTGAACGCACAAACCCCAAACGCTTCAAACAATTTCTGGGTGGTGGTGGCGCAGGCATTAAGATGGAGGATGATGGTCGCTACGTGCTGCCTATTCAAGCCTTGAAGGATGATGGAAAGGTTGTTTCGTTGGTTATCCTCGCCAAAAAAACTTCTTATGGCTGGGAGTTTTCAAATGGTACGAGTGATGAGGGATGCATCCAGCCTGCGGTTCTTGAATGGAAGGAAAAAGAGCTTATAATGATGACGTCGTGTGATGACGGCAGCCGCAGGGTTTACAGGTCAAGCACCATGGGGAATTTGTGGACGGAGGAATACGACACTCTTTCACGCGTGTGGGGCAACTCACGTACACGTGTGGGGCACGGCGCGCAGGGTGGCTTCGTCAGCGCGATGATCGATGGACAGAAAGTCATCCTCGTCAGTCGGCCGGTATATTCTGAGAAGGATAAAAAAGAAACGGGCCGACTTCACTTGTGGCTGACGGACATGCAGCGAATTTATGATGTTGGGCCGATATCCGCTGTGGGTGAGAACGTCGCCGCCAGCACTCTGCTGTACGCCACGGTCGAAGCGCAGCCATTGAAAGAGGAAGAACCGAAGGAAGAGAAGAAACTGTACTGCTCGTACGAGGTCGCTGCAGAGGACGGTAAGTACAACATTGCTTTTGTGGGCTTGACGGAGAAGTTGGAGGATATGAGGAAGGTATTGGCTGCATGGAAGGAAAAGGACGCGCAAATTGCGAAGGAGTACCGCTGCGGGAATGAAAAGAATAATTGGCGCAGTGGCTGTGATGCTCGTGAACTCACCAAGGGGCTGGTTGGCCTCTTATCCAACAAGTCAACTAAGAACACATGGAGTGACGAGTACCTCTGCGTGAATGCAACCGTTCACGGGGAAGTGGAAAGTGCTCCTGATGGTGGATTGACGTTCAAAGGACCCGGAGCAGGGGCGAAGTG